AAAAAGGCATTGTCTAGCGGGAACAAGAAGGCAGGGCTGTCTATAGCAGCTGCAGCTTAAGTGCACATAACAATACTTTTATTAACTCTGATAAGCTGCTGAACGGTGGAAAGAAGTTTCCAAACAGTTCCGTTGAACATTTACAAAATACACAACTCCAGCTCTACCACTGTGGCGCTCACCCTATTCTTAGCAGACATCTTTGGGTGGGTTAAGTAATTGAGCCTCGTTCCTTACGCTATAATGTGTGGCTGATTTCACCCTCCTTCCTTCTGGTGTAGAGATGAGGATGAAATAGCATAAGCACATGTTGTTCTGGGTGTTCTGGGAGTGCACGTAGCAAAGAGAAGCTGCTTAATGAATACCGATGTAAAATCAAAAGGCTTCCTGGAAGGTGTGCCTCCTGCTGCTCAGCACAGCTGCCTCCTGCAAGGCTTACCTGGTTGGGGCGCGCTGTACAGATCTTCCTGCAGGAAGGGCATGGAACTGACCACAGAGGGGGCTCGGGCTGGGTACACGAACTCAGTGGCTACGAAATCCCCAGAGGAGCTACTGAAGATGAACAGGCGAGGTGCGAAGTTAAAACTTCCAGGATCTTTGAAAGAAAAGAGAACAAAGCTGAAGCTATCATATGCAGCAAAGTAAATTCCAGATGAAGAATGAAAACATGAAATAATTACATGCACTGTGGAAACATAGGTAGGATTTATCTGAGCTTCGAAGTACAGAAGACCTGTTAAATTCTAATAGTGAAAGAACTGACCAGGCTTGGTGGGTGACGCCTGTAAACCCAGCACTTGAGAAGGCCGAGCAGGCTGATCACTTAAGGCCAAAAGTTTAAGACCAGCCTGGCCAACCTGGTGAAACCCCATCTCTACTAAAAACACAAAAATTAGCCAGGCATGGTGGCACATGCTTGCAGTCCCAGCTACTCTGGAGGCTGAGGAAGGAGAACCGCTGGAACCCAGGAGGCAGAGGTTGCAGTGAGCGAAGACAGCACCACCGCACTCCAGCCTGATGACAGAGCAAGACTCCATAGCAAAACAAACAAACAAATAAACAAAAACTGGAGTCTCTGCTTCTATATCACCGCAATTTTTCCCAGCTCCAATTCCATTTCCAACATGACAACTGTATTAATGTGTGAAGGGGAAAGGAAAACTCATTTTAGTTCCTAAAAGTTCAGGGGTCATATTTACTTGACATTTTTGGTCATTTGTTTGGTAAAGTATCTGTAACATGGGTTTTATAAATGATTCTAATAATTTCTTAAATTAGTTTCACTAAAAACAGCCTTTCCTACGATCCGCTGTGGATCTGAACTGGTTATGTCTGTTTTTGAGAGGGCAAAATAAAATAGGAACCATCAATGACTACATTATATATACCTATAGTTAATTTGGAAGCCACTCAACTGAAATTTCTGCTAACTTAGCAACAAAATGTTGCCTTTGATTAGAAATCCTATTCCCCAAAGTAGTGAAAATATGTTGCACCAACGAGGTCAGTGGGGAAAGGCATGTTTCCAACAGATTGTAACAGTCTATGGAGACCTAGACAGCTCTTAGCACTCAAGTACGTTGTGTAAATATACATTTACAGTTGAATAAAACATCATACCCTAACATTCTACATAGACTTGAGCATGTATACCCAAAATACAATTGTATTTCTTTTTAAAAGTTTTTTTTTTTGTTTGTTTGTTTGTTTTTTTTGAGACAGAGTTTCACTCTTGTTGCCCAGGCTGGAGTGCAATGGTGCGATCTCGGCTCACCGCAACCTCCACCTCCTGGGTTCAAGCAATTCTCCTGCCTCAGTCTCCCGAGTAGCTGGGACTACAGGTGCATGCCACCACGCTCAGCTAATTTTTGTATTTTTGGTAGAGAAGTGGTTTCACCATGTTGACCCGGATGGTCTCGATCTCTTGACCTCGTGATCCACCCGCCTCGGTCTCCCAAAGTGCTGGGCTTATAAGCTGAGCCACCGCGCCCAGCCAAAAGCATTTTTTTTTTTTTTTTTTTGAGATGGTGTCTTGCTCTGACACCAGGCTGGAACACAGTGGCGCAATCTCAGCTCACTGCAACCTCCGCCTCCCGGTTCAAGTGATTCTTTCGCCTCAACTTCCCGAATAGCTGGGACTACAAGTGTGCGCCACCACGCCCGGCTAATTTTTACTTTTTTTTAGTAAAGACAGGGTTTCACCATGTCGGTCAGGAAGGTCTGGATCTCTTGACCTCGTGATCCGCCCCTCCTCGGCTTCCCAAGTGCTGGTATTACAGGCCTGAGCAACCACGCCTGGCCTGAAAGTATTTTTATTTTAGTGACAAGGTCTTGCTCTGCTGCTCAGGTAGAGCAGTGGAGTGCAGTGGTGTGACCATAGCTCACTGCAGCCTTGAACTCCTGGGCTCAAGTGATTCTCCCACCTCAGCCTCCCAAAGTGCTGGGACTACAGGTGGGTGCCACTATATGGGGCTGATTTTTAAATTTTTTGCACAGATGGGGTTTTATTATGTTGCCCAGAGTAGTCTTAAACACCTGGACTTAAGTGACCCTCCCACCTCAGCTTCCCCAAACTCAGGGATTACAGGTGTATGCCTAGAATTTTATTTCTTTAAAGATATTTTACAAAACAGGCATTTCACTATTTTTCCTTACAGTTTTCCTGCACGTATCTAAATGTAGTCCTATATACAAATTAATTTTTCATATCTGTATTCATTTTTAATTTTAACAATGTAAAGATGAAATTTTTAGTGGTAAGGACTTATGGGCTATTCTTTCCACTGCCTTGATCAGTTGCCTAAACTGTAATACAAAAATCAGCTGGGCATGGAGGCAGGCACCTGTAATCACAGCTACTCGGGAGGCTGAGGTAGAAAGAATCGCTTGAACCCAGGAGACGAAGGTTGCAGTGAGCCGAGATCACATCACTGCACTCCAGCCTGGGCGACAGAGCGAGGCACTCTCTCAAAATAAATAAATAAATAAAGTGTGGACGTGTTATGCCATCAAGGTACTTTCAAGAGTGAGTTTGGTGCCGGGAGGGCCAGTTAGGAATAACAGAAAACAGAGGTGTAAAGACGGCTCATGGTTAAGTATTCTTGCACCAGAGCCACCTCTAATTTGTGGGAATTAAGCCTCTGTCACACCCTAGGGAAGCCTGGCTCAGCAGCCCTGAGCACCTGGAGCATCTGTCTCCTGACCCTGCTGGGGTGCGAGCAACCCTGCCCTGCAGGCACTGGGTCAGGATGCTGACTGGCAGGCTGGCTGGCATCGACCAAGCGGGGGCTATACCATCTGCACAGCTGCTGCTTTTTGCTGACCTTCTCCCAGAAGTGCTCCCTGAGCTCTGACCCAGTCTTGTTTGCAGGTGTGGCCCTTGTGGGCGCAAGTGATGGAGGAGCCAGACTAGCATCACCAAAGGCCAGAGCTTCCGCATTGGCTATGGAGTGACCGCAAGTGCTGTCGGCCTGTGCTTCCCAGCTGCTGGAGGGACGGTCTGGAATCTGAATGCTCCCTGCTCTATCCTAATTCTCTAAAGCTGGACTTTTTAAAGTTGTAAGTCTGCTGGAAAGAAAGGGGGGGAGGAGGGAGGGAGGGAGAGGGGGAGGGAGGGAAGAAAGGAAGAAAGAAGGAAAGGAAGAAAGGAAGAAAGAAAATACCTGGTGACAGAGTGAGACCCTGCCAAGGAAGCGGAGGGAAGAAGAGGGGAAGAGGGGAGAGGGGGAAGGGGGAGAGTGGGAGGGGAGGGAAGGGAAGGGAGTCCCTCCCACTGGGGGTCTTTGTCCACCACCCCATTGCTCCCTGGAAGAAGAGACAGGAGCTGCCTGGGCGCTGAAAGATCCCATTCCTGCTGTTTAAGGAGCCCCTGGAGTTTGGTGTGCTCAGCAGCCAGCCTCGAGTCGCCTTGCTGCTGGTTCAACCCTGACCTGCTCCCTGATCTGGTGACTGGGCTCTTCGGCCCCTCCTTGTAGCCAAACTCACGGCTCCCCACATCCTGTGCTGGAGCCCCCCTCTGACTTCCTGCCCACCAAGCGGGTTAACAGCACGTTGGGTTTGGAAAGAGGGCGCCTGGATGTGAGTGTCCAGCTCAGCTCTCTGCTAGCTGTGTGGCTTCAGGCAGGCTCCTTGATCTTACTGTCCTGGTCCTCATCTGAGAAATTAACATCACAACAGAACAAGTCTCAGGGAGCCTGGGAGGCCCTCAGCTAGAGGCAAGTAAAGACCCAGCGTCGTGCCCCAGGGGGCGGGGGGAAACCTCTGGGCCACAACCGGGCTCTGCACAGCACACAACCCCAGCACACAACCCCACCGCCCGGTGCCCAGCAAGGTTGCCTGCTGGCTGTTCCTGCACTTGCTCTACGTCATTGATACCACGTGCGTCTTGGAGACAGGACCTGAAATATTTACTTGGTCTCTACAAAAAGTGTCTCCCATAGAGTAGGTGCCCCGGAAATGCCAGCTGATGCACAGATGCATCTTGTGTCAATCAGGAAAGAAATCACGTGGTTCTGCGCCTGCAGGTATCTGATCAGCCTGTGCCTCCC